AAAAACTATATTGAATACTTGCGCCGGGTATTTAATGTTCGGCTCCGCCTGAACTTAGACTCTTTTACTTGTTAAGAAATAATTTATGTGAGTCAATTATGTGATTTAGTTAAATAAAAAATGTAAAGGTTAGTAATTTTTAATAACGTTTTTTTAGTACTTGAATTTTAAAATTGGAGCATTGTGTCTTATAAAAAGTTTTTAAAGGGTCGTTAATCAGGGCCACTAAATAACTGCTCGCTCGAGGCGACAAACTTGAAAAACTTGAAACTTGACAAAATTGTAAATCCTTTTCGATTGACGCCGCACCAGTCGAGAAGACTTTCAGTTATGTTTATTGTTTTTTTTTATTGCGGTGCAATAATTCTTTTCATCTCCACAATCTAGTATCATGGCAAGATCGTTGTTTAAACACCATTGTTTTCCAAAGAATTCTTCATTAATTAATTTTTAATCCTTTCTTCTGTGACTGGCCAGATATACGTTTTATCAGTGCACTTGCACAATGTGCCAGTGACCGAAAATAACAGTTATTTTTTACCAGTTAAACTTGGCCTAATATTTGTTATTCCGATATAAAAGTTTTTTCTGGATAATAAACAAACAGCTTATCAAAATTAAACAAATTTCATATCATGGGAATGAGACCTGAAATAGCTTTTAAGCAGAAGTAACGAACGAAGGTTACCACCTCTATTTATATTTTTTTATATCATTTAATACAGAAGAAATTCATATACCTGAGCCAAGGTTTGTTCTATGGTAATTAATTAACATTTTTTATTGAAATATTTTTCAATAGGTGGCTTTGCTCGTTTAGACATTTCAGTTTTAAAGCTATTTAAGTCCTCTTTCATTTGATACCAAACTTGTTTAATTTGGATAAGCGGTTTGATTATTATCCGGAAAGGACTTTTAGTTGGGAATAAAAAATATTTGGCCAAGTTTAACTCGTAAAAAAAAATAACTGTTATTTTCGGTCCCTTCAATATTCGCATTGGCAAAAGATCCGCATTGATTAATGCGAATGCGAAAGCGAATGCGAATGTTAAAATTAATGCGGAAGCTCCGCGGTTGCGAATGCGAATGCGAATATTCGCAACAACCCTGGTATGCACACGTGCATATTCATGAAACTGGCAGTGGTGCGATTAATGGAATCATAATGAACATTTGCAATTTTGAAAATTGTATGGCAGTCAACCTAACTAAAATAAATAATATAAAAAAAATTTTTTAATATACAACGCTTTTATAAATGGACTAAAAAGTAGAAAATAATATTTCTCAGTCCCATAGAATTTGTTTTGATAACTTTTGATTTTGAAATTTTAGCAAAAGTCATTATAAACAATCTATGAAA